CCGTGTAGACATACCACTAGCATACCTTATTTTTAGGATCAAGATTCCCATCTTGATTATAACAAATGTATAACCACAAATTAAAACTCATCCTATTTTCACTGCCCCATTACTTAACCCCCAAGAATTGACTTGATGCAAGTTGCGTTCAAGCACTCCAGGATTCATACCTTATTGCTCCTGATTTTCAAAGTGCAGTGGAGAACACAAAACAAGACATTACAAAAACAAGGAACTTTTGCCTGGAAAGCAAAGCACAAGACACTTAGGGTGCATCTACACAGCAGGCCTTAACTCAAAATAATCTATGCAAATTGAGCTACATCAATTGCTCAATTGGTTATTTCAAAATAGGGAGCATCTACACAGCACTTATTTTGAAATAGAGCACTCTTCCTCCAATGATGGTTACAGGAGTTGGAGTAAGATGTCCTGCAGTTTGACAGTATTTTGACACTATTTCAAAATAACTGCCTGCTCTGCAGATACACAATAGCGCTAGTTACAGTAGACTTCCAATAATCCGGAACCTATGGGATTTAGGTGGTGCCGGATTATCAAATATGCCGGACTATCAGAAGGTACATATAAGCAGGTTATATATATACACTGTATACATTATATACTGTATATAAAGTGTTCGTAACCCTTTTTATTGTACATACTGATACAGTATACAATAATGTGTTCATTTTTTTAAGCCTTTTTTACCCTTTTTGCTCAGTTCAGCTGCTGCCGCTGTTACCTCGTGACTCTTTTTTTGCCGAAGCTCACTCACTAGGCTCTTGCCATTTTGATGCCGGACTATCAGGAGTGCCGGACTATTGGATGCTGGACTATTGGAGTTTTACTGTATTTTGAAACAGTGTTGAGTGTACATGTACCCTTAGGTAGTTCAAATTATGAAAGGCTTATAATGTAAACTGATTAGTTCTCTATTTCATTCAACGATATAAGATCAAGGGCTCATTGACCATAGCAGCATAACAATTTAGAACGAATGAAAAATAAAGTAGTATTACATAATGTCTGGTCCACCTTAAAGAATTTACTGATAAAGAAAACCATTAATTCAAATGCAACAGCTGAATTTTCCCCTACCCTTCCTTAAGGGCTGGATAATTTTACAACCATTGACAACTGTAACTGGACAAGCTAATTTAAGAGTTATCAAATTTCATGCTTCAGGACAAAAACTCTTTCAGTAACTAAAAATTTATTCCCCATTCCACTTCAATGCACAACTAGCTGGGCATGTATTTTGGAGAAGCATGAAGTCACTTCCCAATGAAGTATCAGATAATGGTCACTGCAGCTGTCAAACTAGAGAACATAAGTATAATATAATGTATGAAATTATGAAGAATTTGACCCTGTAAATCTTATTATCTGTATTATAGTTCACATTAAAGACAGTAGATTATTTTGGGAGCATATTTTACAATTAAAAGTAAACTCAATGCTATTTTAGTAGCAACTAAAGAGGGCATTTATCCTTCCTGGAGAACATCAAGAAAGACACAAATTGAGCAGTGAATCTGCAGGTTAATGAGGTATTGGATAGATTTTATCCACACACCCTTTCACTATTACATAATGGATTCAAACGAGAGTCAGACAAGCCATTGTAACTGGTTCTGGATTTTGTGTATAGCTTTTTTGAAGGCTTCTTTAAGAAGGAGGGAAAGGGGATTTTCAGGTTGCTCTTTTTTTAACAAGCTATTTTGCTCTAGTCTGTGACTTTGCAAATGTAGAAATGCCTAAGTACATCAGAACCATGGACTAAAATAAAATGATTATGCAGAAACGTGTCCTACAAAATTGTCAGTTATTACAACTAAAGTGCTTTTAAAAAGTGAAAAACCAGACAACTTATTACTGATACCTCAAAAAGAACATCTTTGAAATAGCACACCACTTCAGTAAAAGGCACAAATTAAATATGAACAAGAGTCAATTAAAATTAAATCACAGGAAATGCAATGCAGTTTCTATATTATTTGACAAGCAAAGATGAACATTTTGTACAACAGCTTCATTATTTCGATCAATGGCTTTGATGTCACTTGCACTCAACAGCTGCTCCTAATATTATATTACAAGCAAAACAGGAAGTCATGCTCAACACATAATTAGTGCCCTATCAAAGTCAGTATCATGCAAAACGCGTCACGGACTGTGAAATCTGGTGTCCTCCCACGAAATCTGGCCTTGTGTATGCTTTTACCCTATACTATATAGATTTTATGGGTGAGACCAGCATTCCTCAAATTGGGGGTCCTGATCCAAAAGGATCACAAGGCTGTTTATGAGGGTCACAGTATTGCCATCCTTACTTCTGTGTCGTCTTCAGAGCTGGGCAACTGGAGAGCAGCGGCTGTAATGCTGGCTGGGTGCCCAGCTCTGAAAGCAGCACCAGTGAATAAGTAAGGGTGACAATACCATACCAACATCTCTTTTGCTTCCGTATTGCTGCTTTGAGCGCTGGACAGCCAAGGAGTGGCAGCTGCCAACTAAGGTCCCAACTCTGTAGGCAGCAGTACAGAAGCAATACCATCCTTACCTCTGTGCAGCTGCTAGCAGTAGCTCTGCCTTCAAAACTAAATTCCCCATCTAGCAGCTACCAGTCTCCAGATGCTCTGAAGACAGTGATACTGCTAACATCGGTGCAGAAGGGTAGCAGTGCTAAAACCCCTCCAAAATAAACTTGTAACCCTCACACGACTCATTTGTGGGTTAGGACCCAACAATTACAACACAGAAATTTCAGATTTAAATATCTGAAATTGTTACAGAATTGTTTTGTTACTTGTATAAAATGGTTTGTCTGTGCATAATTAGGAGTTAAGTATAATGAATCATCCTTGGTAATTGTCAAATGTCATCATATGTAAGGATAGAACTCTGTTATAGTTCTGTTTATTGTTGTTGTTTCAAATGTACATGAATATTCATGTGTGGTGAGCCGTTACCTATATGAATATTCATAGATTGAGCAGTTGTTCATAAATATTAATGTGTTTGTCCAAGGGACCAATCGGTTTAAACTCATGTAAATTAGCATCCTCCACCAGCCAATCATTTTAAAGTTGAGTCCTCATACATATTCATAACCATAGCCTATAAAAGCTTGTGCAACGCACCCGTTGTGTTGCGTCGGGTGTAGGCTAGGTTAGCATAGTGTATGAGACCCCTAGTGGCTGGATCGAGCTGTCCCGAGCGTGACTGGTTTAGAATAAATGCATTAGATTAAGATAAAAGGATTGACCAGACAGAAGGTCTGAGTCTCCTATTGTAGGTTTAGTTTAGTTAGATTAGTGTTTCATCGTCGTGTCTGTTCGTCAGGCTCGCGTCGGTCCACACACATCGGCCATCGCCGAGACTGTTCGTCGGGAGCATCGAGTTTTAGATAGGGTTTTAATTTAGGTTAAGTGTAGAGTAGATTAGATAGAGTCTAGGTCAACCATCACCTGTTCCAGCTGCCTCCGAAGCGCAGGAAAAGGGCGAGGACTGTGCAGAAGGCCAGTCGTCGCACCTTACTGGCCGTTCCTCTCCGGAGACTCGGAAGAGTCAAACGATTGAGGTTGCCAGTGTCGGCGCCTTCTTCCAATGTGGGACTCCTCGTTGATCCTCTCCTGAGGCTTTTCATTAGCCGACGGATTGTAGGTCGCCAGCGACACTTCCATCGTCTCCACGCCATAGACTCTCTGGTAATTTTTATGTGTGTAGCTAATTCCTTTGCTTGTTTGATCTTTTACAATATAGTTTTGTGATTTTTAAACTTAAATTGTCTGTGGTAATTTCAAGCGCCACGTACCAATTAAAATCCAGAGAAAACCCAATGACAGACATGGGAGAGTGTCCGCACCTGTAATTTTCTTACAGGATAATTAGGCTAATTGGCAATCAACTAATGAATACCGTTACCACCACACGTGCCGGATAACAAAATAATGAATTTTACCCTTCTTAAAATCCTATGACCAAAAACGGACCGTGAATTTGGTAGGGCTCTACATATATTCATGAGGCCCTGTCTTAGTAGCTTATAACTTTGCAAATTTTAACTGCTTGGGCTGAAGTCTCCATACCATTTGACTGCTCCAGGCTTAATTATTAACTTTTGGGGTGGGCTGTTACTGAAACTAAAAAATTTCAGCCATTTCTCATAAATAATGAGAAAATGTATAGGTGAGCCTATCTTAAAAGTATTTGCAACCACTCTGCTAAGAAAGCTTCAATCCTTTGAGGCAGGGATTTAAAATTTGACAAGTCACATCACTCTGGTGTCAAGGATTTCCCTTTTGTCACCCTGGTGAAAATCTGCAAGAATTTGGCCATGTTGCAAGCCTCTTAATATATTTAAGTTCACACCTCACCACCAGAAGTTTGTTAGAATTTGGCAGCTATTTCTCTGCATATTTTATCTGCAGTGGATACTCTCCAACTCAGGAATGTTCAGATTCCAAAATTGCTCCTCTAGGCAACCAGAGTCTGTTGTGGCAATAGTCACAAGAATCAGAAGCAGGGACATGGTTTCCTGTACTCAGTGCTCTTCCTGCATTATTCCCACAGAAGAGGACAACCTACTGATTCTCTCCCGTTACTGTAAGAATTCCACCATTTGAACTGTGCTGGAGATAAGGGAGTTACTCACCTCGTGCAGTAACGAGTGTTCTTCGAGATGTGTGTCCCCGTGGGTGCTCCAGTGTAGGTGAAGGGTTGCCGTGAGCCGCAGATCGGAGCTTTGTATAGCAGTTTCCCCTGTTGAGCCACGCATGCCCAGGAGGCATCTCGAGCCCTTCCCGCCTCCTGAGGGGCATGACTCAATCCCCTCCCTTTCAGTTCCTCGTCTCCGCCCGAGAATTTTGACTCTGAGCAGAGGGGAGGTAGGGAGGGTCGTGGACCACCCACGAGGGCACACATCTCGAAGAACACTCGTTACTGCACAAGGTGAGTAACTGCCTTTTCTTCTTCTTCGAGTAGTGTCCCCGTGGGTGCTCCACTGTAGGTGACTACAAAGCAGTATTCAATGTAAGGCTGGAGGGAGCCGGAGTCATTGTTTAGCAGTGGTCGAGAGTACTGCTGTGGCAACTGCTGAATCACTCTTGAGTTGTGGAAGGATAGCGTAGTGTTTAGCAAAAGTATGTTCTGAAGACCATGTTGTTGCCCAGTAAATGTCTCTTAAGGGGACATTGCCCAGAAAGGCTGTAGAAGCAGCCGTGGCTCGAGTAGAATGCGCTTGTGGTGGGCGTTGTAGCGGTCTATTGCCCAGAGTGTGGCATTTGATTATACATGTTGATATCCACTTTGAGATTCGTTGCGATGATACTGGTGTCCCTTTGGATCGTTCAGCAATGGAGATAAGTCTTTCAGATTTATGAAATGGTTTTGTTCTTTCTAGGAAGAAGGCCAGAGCCCTCTGGATGTCCAGAGTGTGCAGGCTGGCGTCTGTCTGCGAAGAATGCAGTTTTGGGAAAAAGGTAGGTAATACAATCGGTTTGTTGAGATGGAATTCTGTACAGACCTTTGGCAAAAATGTGGGATGGGGTCTCAGTATGACCCTATCCTTTGTGAAAACTGTGTAAGGAGGTTCTGACATTAATGCTCCGAGTTCGCTCACCCTCCTGACGGAGGTAATGGCTAAGAGGAAACAGACTTTCATAAAAAGGAAGGGAAGTGGTACTGTTGCCAGTGGGTTAAAGGGAGGTCTGGTGAGGCAATTCAAAACAAGATTTAGGTCCCATAAAGGGGATGGGGCCTTATGTGGTGGGTACACATTCTGGAGCCCCTTGAGGAATCTCTTCGTAATAGGATGGTTAAAAATGGAGAAGCCGTCTACTGAGGTATGAAATGCTGCTATTGCAGAGAGGAGGGAAGTGGTACTGTTGCCAGTGGGTTAAAGGGAGGTCTGGTGAGGCAATTCAAAACAAGATTTAGGTCCCATAAAGGGGATGGGGCCTTATGTGGTGGGTACACATTCTGGAGCCCCTTGAGGAATCTCTTCGTAATAGGATGGTTAAAAATGGAGAAGCCGTCTACTGAGGTATGAAATGCTGCTATTGCAGAGAGGTGTACTCTTAGAGAGGAGATTGACAGTCCTGATGCTTTAAGGTCCAGAATGTAGTCTAGGATGGTATTTAGTGGTGAGGCACAGGGCTCCACTTTGGCTCGCTGACACCAGTGACAGAAACGTGTCCATTTCTGTTGGTAAGTTTTCCGAGTAGACTGTATCCTGCTATGGAGGAGGAGGTCTTTTACTCGCTGGGAGCAGCGCTCTTCTACCTCCGAGAACCAGAGCGAAGCCATGCGTGAAGATGCAGGGTATTGAGTTGTGGATGCAGGATCCTGACGTCGTCCTGAGATAGTAGGTCTATCCGGTATGGTAGTGGGTGGGGGGGCTGGACTGCTAGCCTGTGAAGGTATGGGTACCAGGTTTGGCGAGACCATGATGGCACAATCAGGATGACTAGGGCTTTGTCTCTCAGGATCTTGCTCAGAACTCTTGGGATGAGGGGTATGGGAGGAAAGGCCTAGTATAGGAGGGCTGTCCATTTGATTAGGAAGGCATCCCCAAGAGAGCGTTTGCCAAGTCCCGCACGTGAGCAGAATTGGGGACATTTGGTGTTCTGGGTAGAAGCAAAGAGGTCTATCAATGGCCATCCCCACTGGTGGAAAATTGAGTTCGCCACCTCCATATGTAACCCCCATTCGTGGTGCGCGGTGAAGTTTCGGCTGAGGGAGTCCGCTTTGGTATCGTTCACTCCGGGTAGGTAGGATGCTATAAGGGTGACTTGGTTGTGGATACCCGCGTTCCACAGGCGAATAGCCTCCGCGCATAGCAAGCGGGAGCGGGCTCCACCCTGTCTGTTTATGTAGAACATCGTGCAGATGTTGTCCGTTAGGATGCGGACTCTGTGATTGGCGATGTCGGAGGCAAAGTGTGCACAGGCATTTCTTACTGCCCTCAATTCGAGGAGATTAATATGTAAGAGTGTCTCGTTTGGGGACCACCTGCCTTGAATTGCGTGACCATCCATATGTGCCCCCCAGCCGAGCAGGGAAGCATCTGTGGTGATTTGAATAGTGGGTTCGATTTGTTGGAACGGAACCCCCGCCAGAAGATTGTTTGGCACTGTCCACCATCGTAAGGATGCGAGCACGTCTGGTGGGATAGTAACTGTTTTGTTTCGAGGGTGTCGTGATGGGATATAAATGGTTGCAATCCACAGGTGAAAACATCGAAAGTGCAGACGAGCATGGTGGACTACGTAGGTGGTGGAAGCCATGTGTCCCATTAGTCGGAGGCATGTAAGTATTGTGGTGGTAGGAACTGTGAGCATCCTGTTTATAATTTTTTGCATGGTTGCAAAGCATTGTTGAGGTAGGTATGTCCGGGCTGTAACTGAGTCCAGGTGAGCGCCAATGAACTCTATATCTTGAACCGGGTGCAGAATTGATTTGTCTTGGTTGATT